CGGCTTTCGTCTGTAGTGAACTCATAAGGCCGGTGGAAGTGCTTCTTGGGAAGTTACTTTCTATCTGCGCGGTGGAACTCATTATAGTAGATAGGAGAATTTATATTGTTCTATTAACCTTTTGCTCTTGGTGACCTGGATGATTGTGAGTGTATAGGTAAGGAAAGAGACATAAAAAATCGGATGACTTAAATGAGCAGCTATGAACTACAACCCTTGCACTCCTGACAATTTTCTGAACTACGATTTCCGGTATAGTGGTTGGAAGTGTAATAAGTTTAGATGTTTGTGTAGGCATTAAAATTCTATGCTTCAATTGTTATTGACGGTTTTGTCCGAACATCATTCGTAGCAACTAACATTAACAAGTGTACTACAGCAGGCCACACTTCTACATACCTAGCTAGGCAGTGGTTCCGTTATCTCGCAGTCTTTTTTTGAATGAATAATGGGTGACATTAATGTATACTGTATTGGCTATAGATTTTAACATAACATAGGAAACAGTATTGATTACCTAGTTGACTTGAATTCTCGCACCTTCTTCAGCTAAACGCCGTGATTTGGAGGATGTTAGAAATTAAGGCTGTAGAATTTTGATTTTTGAATGGGTAGGTAGCAATTATATGGTAGGGAATGTGGAGGACAAAGGAGCAGATGATGTTGCGAAAGTTCTGGAAGGTTAGTTGATGGGGATAAGGGATGAGGAATCTTATGCATGGGTTGAAACTTTGAGTGGGTTTGCGCTTATGAGAATTGGGGGTTTGAGAATTGTGGCTCAAAGAGAGAAGTGGTGGGTATGCAGGTATGCGGGCTATTCATCGTGTGGAAGAAGGAAGATTGCCTGTCCGAATGAGATATTCCTCGAGTGGGTTTCAAAGTTCTCGTCATAATGAATCGCTTTCAATACAGTCACTCAAATACAAAGTCAAATGCTTTAAACGCGCATACTTCAAGTAACATGTCAAAATTTGATTTCCTTGAATCTTCAATCTCTAGGAATCTTTGGTTTGATATGACTAATGCAGATTTTGTTCTATCCATCCCACGCTATGAACCAAGCGAGGTTAAGCACAAAAGCCGCACCGAATTCTGCTTATCTTGTCTATCCTGCCCGGAGATCCATCGAGTGTAGAAATCAGAGGAAAGTAAGACCAGCTGTCCGAAATGTAACCCAAAGATCGCACAAAAAGAAAACAGATGTCCATCCACCCAAATTTCTCTCTAGCATCCGTGGACGTAAGCTGAGAGCGATATGGAGGTTTCTAAGTTTGAAAATCGAATGCGCCCAACGCCGGGGGTATATCGCTTAAAAATACATGTCGCAGGTGTGAAAGAGGAGTCGTGGCGGTGATATGGTGTGTATGAAAGACCGGATAGGCTGACGGGATGGGACGACTGAGGAATTAAGTAACACTTGGGCAAAAGAGTCGTAGTTGAAAAAGCCCGGCCGTGCTTGCAAGCTGATCTGATGCAGTCATCTACCATCGACGTCCTCGGGTCCCTTTACTGTTGCGAAGGCACACCGCTGATACCATCAGAACTTTCGACTCCATCAGCATTAAGAGCATCAGGTTTGGTTTTCTTGTGTTCAAGCTCCATTTCTGCGACAGGACTAATATTAGCTCTCTTCTTGCAAAACTCAAACTCGGAGTCATCACTGCTAGAGATAAGATCTGAGGTAGCCTCGCAACTACCAGCTACGAAAGTGTGAGAGGAACTAAATGGGACACCAGACAACCACTCGACTGAGTAGTTGTGTTAGGGTTGACCTGGTGAATATAGAAGAGAGAGAAACAGAGCTGAGAAAGATTGTAACTAGAATACAAATTGCTATACTAATCAAACGAGAAAACTTACGAGCGTCTCGTTGGCTAGAAGAAGGGACAATAGGAGTGACTATAAAGCTAGCAGCTTTCTGTTGCCAAGGGTGTGCTCCCATTGTCTGCGCAGCTGAAGTTGGTGGAGTTCCGTAATTCGAAGTATACCCGTCACCTACCCAGCCAGCGACGACATTTGGTGGAGGTGGGGCCATGCTGGAGACACGAGGAGGGAATACAGGTTTAGCCGATCCACTAGAAGATGACGTAACGTTTCTAGCAGCATGCTCATCTGCTTGGCCTTGGCTGTTAGTATTTGCTTGCTCAATTGGAGTCAGAAGGTTGCGAATACCAAACGGTCCAGTATACGATGTGATAGGTGTATCCCGGGCTGTAACAGTCTGCTCTTCATCAGATTGAAGAGTATCAGGGGAGGCGACCATATCTGCAGTGGAACTCGAACCCAAAATTGACGCTGCCAGGTCCATGAGTGTCACAGCAGAATCGGGTGGTGTTGGGGAGCGTGCTGGAGAGATTGCTGGAGAAAGCATTGGCGAGTTTCTCAAACTTTCGGTTGTGATTGTCAAAGTCGGTGTGGCGAGGTTGGTCTTGCGCTCAGAAGTACGACGCTTCAAAAAGCTAATGGAATCACGTCTGATGGACTTGTGCTCCTCTTGGATGATTTTGTTCTCCTCTTGCTCTACCAATTTGCGAATTTCAATTTCCGCGGGACTAATTGAAGGGGTCAGCCATGCTTGATAACCGAGTGTTTGTAAGAACGCCGGTAAGAGTAGCTATCGAAGAGACAGAAGTATTGGGGACACATCATGGGGGGGCATCGTCCAGAACAAAATATTGATGCAGTATGAAGAAAAAAGCTGCTCTGCGAATACATGAAATGCTTTAATAGGAGAAGATGCGCCAAAAGACGGAACGTAAAGCAATCTCGTAGCCGCCCGCAGTAAAACAGATTGAAGTACATATGTATTCATGCTCCAATGATTGCCGAGGAAAAAATGACGACTGAAATGAGTGAAGGGATAAAACTGCAGAAACTTCAAGACTTACTCGGGAAATTTAGGTACAGGACCAAGATTTTGAAGGTGATTCTTTGCTTCTTCAAGGGAAGTTATACCAACTTTCTGAGAAAATGCGTCGAATTCCTGGCTCATCTTACGTAGAGGGAGAGTCTTATCGGTCTGTGTTCGAATGGATGATTGTCGCTTGAAGAGAAGTCAGTAATAGGTCATTTAGGATAAACAAAATGGCCGCGGTTTGGATTAGTGCCACTGCTCAGAATTTCAAGGTGTGAAGTCTGAGAATACAAAATTGAATTCAAATTAGAATGGAAGTCTGGAAGACGAAGAGAAAATGAGATTGAGAGAGAAAAATACTTGCAGTCAATCTACCAATAGAATCATCTTTTGGAGAATTGGGAGAGGTTGTGTTTGTAGGAGTACTAGTCTGGCTGCCACCTGTCGAAGAACAAAAGATCAGCACAAATCCAAAAGATTCCACAGGAATCAGTCCACATGGAATAGTAAGGAAGGAGCTTGAGAGTCTGGCTTATTATCAGTGCCGACTTGATGTTGTTTTATTAGATTCTTGTCCCGAGATTGATACTTGGTCAGATCCTCGAGCATCTCTATGCCCCACGTGGAAAGACAGCTGAATTCTCCTGTGTTGATAACATACATGGTGGCTTATCTTCTTTCGACTCCATCTCTGTTTTCTTTGCAGGAAAAAGTTTACAGGGAAACCAAGAAATGTTGGTACGAAGTAGAGAAGAGAGATTTCTCGATGATAAACACCCTCTAGAGGACTGATGTTGGTCTGGGTTGAAAGATTGTTCTTTTAAAAGAGATTTACAAATTTACCAAATCAAGTTTTGTATTTCAAGATTGTGTAACCGAGAGAGTGAATAGAAGTCGGGTGGATACTTGGTATTCAATTCGTAATTTGTACCTACAATTCCTACCTACCTAGGTAGGTAGGCAGTATGATTAAAAATTAAAATGTAGCAGTGACTTCCAATGTTGAAACAATTGTCGCCAATAACGGCCTTCGATTGTGTTGGAAATCTCTCGGTAATTTAAAGGAGAAGTGTTGAAGGTGAAAGTGAAGGTCCAGATCAAGTGAAAGTTGGTACTGGACGTAGTTGTAGTTGTGGATGTGGACATCTAGATAATGGGTGCTGTCTGTTTGTTTGTACATGCTTTCAAAACAATGGCAATCTCTTATTTCAAAGAATGCAATGATATTCACAGCTGCTGGTAGGAAACACAAAAGTAATTAGATGACAATCCGCTTGTGAAAGTTGTGTGAAGTTTTCATATGTTGCCTGATGAATGGTGGCATATGGAATCCATCTGCAGATAGGGATCCTGATGAATTCGTCTTGTCACAGATCTAAACTCTACAGTCTTATTAGCATCACCTTTTTGATCGGATACTCACTAGATTCAAAAGTTCCCATAGACATTTGACATTCCCTACTTTGACATCGCTTTAACCTCAAAACCCTTGGAGCTCCGAGCACGTGATAATAAGAACAGAAGAAGTTGACCAGGTCATGATTGTATTCCAAAGAGGACATTCACAAAGTATCTGGATAGAAATGGCCCAAAAATGATCTGGGTAGAAAGCATTATGAAGATAAAAAAGTAGACTTTGCTGTCTGCAGAGAACTGCATAGACCTCCGGGAGATATTTTCTTCCTTCCCTATATGGCACATCTTGAGAACATATTAACTCATATGAACTCGATATGCCTACCTATATGGCTCTCCATTTCAACCATTCTAATGCAGCAGGCCGGTCAAGAAAGGAATGTACACCCACTCTATGCATCCTAATCACCCAGCATCTTGTAATCATTTTAAATGTTTGGATGCATACATGGAACATATGCCATATTTCCATATTTCTTGGAGTATTTTGACTTTGCTTTCATGTTTATCTTCGATTGAAATGGATTGGATTGTTGTTGACTGATCATGACTTCCGCTCCACAAATGGAGCGAGGCGACTCAAATGTCGTCAGATGATGATCGCTTACTGCCAACCTAGACCGCCCAAAACCACACTAAAAATTTCCATCCCGATGTCTCCCATCAATCAAAAAATTTGGTGCTCACTTACTCGATTTGCCTCCATATTACACCTCACAACGACGACACAATGAACTCAAGAACATTACTCCGTCAATCATCTCGAGCTTTGAGCTCTTCTCTTCGCAGCTCAGCCGCAAGACAACCTTTGCGTTCTCAATTCCACAATAATACTTCGCCGGCCGCGCAAGTTGCGTCGAGGCAATTCCAAGGAAGGAGATTCTATGCTACGGAACCAGAGGCTAAGAAGGATGAGCCAGCAGCAGAGAAGAAGGATGCTGAAGTAGAAGACCCATCGAAGAAGGCTTTGGAGGCAAAGGATAAGGAGATTCTTGAATTAAAGGTTTGTATTTCCAATCTAATATTATTGATCTGCTTCCTTACTACTGCTTTACACTCATTATGCCGAATACTGCGGCACTTATACTTATGGAATCTGAGCTTGCGAATCTCATCCGGTGGCAAAGGAATTGCAAATACCAGTTCAAGAGCATTTGGCTAACCCCACATCACAGGACAAGCTCCTGCGCTCCATCGCCGAATTCCGCAACCTCCAAGAGCGCACAAAACGAGATATGCAAGCTGCAAAGGACTTTGCCATTCAAAAATTTGCCAAAGATCTTGTTGACAGTGTTGACAACTTTGACCGAGCTCTTACCACTGTTCCCGCAGAGAAGCTCTCCATTTCTGCCGAAGAACGCAATGAGCACCAACAAGACTTGATCACATTACACGAGGGATTGAAGATGACCGAGAACATCCTCATGTCAACATTGAAGAAGCATGGTTTGGAAAGATTCGACCCTTCAGTCGAGTCCGAGAAATTCAACCCAAATGAACACGAGGCTACTTTCATGACTCCTATGGCAGGAAAGGAGGACGGCACAGTTTTTCACACCCAACAGAAGGGATTTAAGCTCAACGGAAGAATCTTGAGAGCTGCCAAGGTCGGGGTTGTCAAGAACCCTTGAATACTGTAAACCAAGTTTCACATTTTGCGGGACGCAAACCTAGCATTGCTCGGCGCATAGAGTAATGAAGAAGTTTACTCCGTATATATATATATATTGGAGTAATGAACGGAAATTTTCAGTGGAGGAATCACGATGTACAAAGTGTATAAATAAAAATGGGACTACGGTTATGTCTACTTGAGCATCCGACTCGAGCAGACACAAAATTACGGCGTTGGAATGCATAATGACTGTAAGCTGCATTACGAAAGAATCAGCTCACTCCTCTCTACAAAGATATGACAGGTTTTGGGGTAAATATTATGGGCTGGCCTGGCTTTTGCGGGATCTATCTGCATCATCTTGTATATGTCACTCACGATTTTCTTTTCTTTTTCGCATATAGGAAAAGAATAAATATACCTAATGAAACCATGCAAGATTGTTCTCCAAGTCGATATGAATGTTTCCTAATAACTCCCATTCCTTTTTTTCGCACAGTATAAAACCTGCCCTGTTCTCACAACATCAGAATAAGAAGTGATTTTCCAGTCGTATTGTACAATGGTAAAGACACTTTAGAGAGCCATTCTCACCTCATAGATTTTTCACTCTTCGCTCTCTTATTAGACGATACTATAATGACCTCGGGAAACCATGAATCACACACACCACAGCTCTTGTACGTTTTCCTTCTCCTCTCCCGTCCTGTTCTATAAACCTCCGTTCAGAACTCCCATTTCATCTTCATCCTCCCATCATCCATAAACTCGCCATCTCTATTCGTAATCCATACCTTTTCCTTCATACCACAAGATACATCGACTGCGCAAACGCTGCACCCCCAACCAGCTTACAGTAGTACTCTTCGCTGTAGATACCGTTACATATAACACCGAACAAGTATGGGGGACGAAAGTGCTATTCCCAAGAGAATCCACGTTCAAAACCACATTTTCAATGAGTATTTGGGACTTGAATGGAGGGGCGGTATCATGTAGATAGTTCTAGGTGTTGTGTTATAGCACTTTGAACTACTTCAAGAGGTATATTGATATATACTAAATAGCTTTGCAATCTTGAAGTCTTTGAAGATATTAGTTGGCTTGAGGATAGACTTTTATCTTTTTCAATCATGAAGAGCGTTTCTCTATAGTGAGAGAGTGAACCGCAATGTCGCCACACAAGTATCAAAGTATTAACCTAGAGACTTAGTTTTGCATTAGTCTACATAAATGAATAAAGTTTAAATCAATTTGTGGAAGAAAAGTCAACAAGCTAGGTATACATGAAACCGAGAGTTCGAAAGTAAGGGAGGAAGTGAGGACCGGAAGAACTGCGGCATCATTAGCAGACCTCTCTGAAATTAACATCAGGTCTAAGATAGTTTGAGGAAAGATGTGAGCACACAATTTGAAATCACTTTATTAATCCATCAAATTCCCCAAGATAGCAAGCAGTATCATAAACACACAGAATCGGAAAGTGCGGGGCACATGCATGAAAGCGGGGTAATTTCCGCCCCTCTCTCACTTCACTTCAATCCTGATTTCTACTCCTCTATCAAAATCTAACTCCAATAATGGCACCTTTAACTCGAGCTTCTGTAGCCCTGATAACAGCTTCTTCAGCCGGGCTCGGTGCTGCCACCGCTCGACTATTTGCATCACACGGTGTCCGTGTCATCATCAATTACCATTCCAGCCATGACAAAGCGCAAGATCTTGTCGGTGAACTCGGAGATCTTGCCCGTAGAAAACTACCAGATATGGAAGAGAAAGATGTAGTTACAGCTGTAAAGGCTGATATGTCCAAGAAAGACGAGGTGGAGAGATTGGTCAAGGAGAGCGTGGAGAAGTGGGGACGATTAGATGTTGGTGTGTTTACATCTCAAACTTCCCGATTTCTCGATCCATTTATATTTTGAACTTGGAAATCAAGAGGACTAGTCTAATAAAACAGTTGTTTCCAACCATGGCTGGACTCAGATTCGCAATTTTCAAGACCTAGACGACAATATTGTTGAAGAAGATTGGGATCGATGTTTCAACATGAATGTGAAGTCTCATTTGTGGCTTTTCCATGCTGTGAAGCCATATCTAGAGACGACCGATGGAAGTTTCATATCGACAGCTAGTATCGCGTTAGTGTTCTATTATTCTTCTATTGATAGCTTCGTGATCCGAATCTGCGATATCAACAAGGGCTAATGAGATTTCATTAGGGGTGTGAAACCGGGTGGGAGTTCCATGGTATGTTCATAACCCAAGGATCTGATAAACGTGAGCAAGGCAAGAGCGCTGACGAGTGCAAATTCAGGCATATTCTGTGACGAAAGCTGCACAGATACATCTCATCAAGTCATTAGCTCTCACGTCAACAATACGGGTGAACTCCGTTTCACCGGGATTGATGCTCACTGCAAGTTCAATATTCATTACCTCCGTCCTCAACTATAATGCATGACATCAAGCTAACCCACATCACCACAGGATTGGGGTCTCCAATTCCCCGAGTCAAAAGTAGAGGGAGTAAAGAAAAAGAGCACACTAGGAAGACTCGCGACCGTCGAAGAGGTTGCTAGACAGATATACTGTTTAGCTGAGAGCGAGAGTGCCACTGGTACAAACTCTATCATTGACGGAGGAATCCATTTGGGGAAATAGATGTTTTTAAAAAGAAACAGAGGGGAATTACTCAAGAAAACCCCCAGACATGAGCTTTCATTTAACAGGTTTCAATGAACATCTGTTAGTTTGCAAATGCATAGACTCTCAAGCTTTCCAACTTCTACAACCAAACCAATATCACACCCATCAACAGTGCCAGGCATTGATATTGAGAAATTCGTCTAATTTAAATAAGCAAATGACACACTGGGTAGGAGACCCAACTAAATCTTCTCTAAAACTCAAAGGCAAACCGGAGGTTTCTTCGGATGTGAATTGCTTTAAAAGGCTTTCAGATATATATGCAAGAATAGACTTAGTGTAATAATAGAGCTGTTGGAAAGCCCTTCCTTTGTAACTTGCAAATATCAGTCTTCAAATAGATAATTATGGATGTAAAACGAAGTGATCTCCTAGCTTATGATGAAAGATAATAGTGATTAATTTAGTACGTGTTCAGGTCACAGCACAAAAGCTGACAGTGCTAAGAGTAAAATAAATTGACAAAAGTATGTGCAATGCTCTTTGAGCTCCGGAACGCATTTGGGAAAAGCTTGCATAACGAACCCCCAGTGCAGTCTGAGGTTCAGTTTAGGAAGCCACTAAGCCTTACAGGGTGTATTTAAATGAACATTACACTTTCAAGCCAGCGTGATAACGAGTCATAAAAGAAGCATTTTTAAGATAGATAAATCGCCTAACCAAAACTTATTTTCTGTCTTGTCAGATCCCTAAACACGTCATCGAGAACGTTTCTCTTCCTCTTCCTCCCTTCATCCTCATCATGAGTCTTGCCTTCCTCCTCTTCCTCACGATCCATTTGAATATCTTCTTCAGTTCTAGGTATCCAAGCTCTGATCTGTCCATCCGAATGAGCGGAATATATACCATCAACCGGTTCTCTCCACGCCAGCGCTGTGATACGGTTCCGGATATTTCGCTCACCGGTTCGAGATCGCACTGCTGCAACAGTGGGACCAGAAACTTTCAGTCGCTTGAGAAGACGACCTTCATGAAGTTCAAAAACAAGAATTTCTTTTTCATTGGGGAAGAAGAGAAGTTCTTTCATGGGGGGTGTTAGTGCTGTGGGTGACACTACTATAGGTAGACTTGAGAGATGTCCATTCTTGATTGTTGGACCAAAGCTTGCGAGAGTATTTGCACCCGTAGCTGCATCCCAGACTCGAATTCGTTCATCGTGTGCTGCAGATATGATATAGTTCCCATTATCCGTCCACGTAAGACCATTGACAGCTCCGGTATGGGCCTTGGCAGAAGCTCTTGATCGACCACCCGCCATCCCATGTGTAGTTGTCATCCCAATTGCATCTTCCAAATCCAATAAGCCCACTGCGCCAGAACTCTTTCGAACATCCCAGACACGAATCGTACCATCTACACACCCACTGGCTAGTATATGCTCAACGTTTGGATGCCAAGCGACTGAGAGGATAGCTCCATGATGTCCGGCTAATGAATGTGTACTTGCGCCGGACCGAAGATCTATGAGCCTGACAGCTGGATGTTGAGTCGCGCAAGCCACCAAAAGATGTTGTGCAATGGGAGATACGGCATGTGAATAGACTACAGAGTCTAGATCGAAGTCTGCGGATAATTGGAGAGTCTCCGTGGAGTATAGTTTGAGATGATGATCATACGACGAAGAGAGAAACGCAGCAGAATCGAAAGGATAGAAACTAAGATGTGTAATGCCATATTGATGCGCGGAAGCACTCCTGCAGACCCGAGTTAGTGGATGCTTCCCAACTGTTAGGCACAATGATAGAAATCTGTAAAATACCTGGGGACCATTCCGGTTGGTCGGAATGTATATTCTGATGCCCCGGTGGGGATTTGATCAAGATCCCAAACTTTGATCGATGCATCTGCACCACCAGAAAGGAGACTATATATCTTCACGTCAGTCCAGAAGTTTCAATAAGTATCATTATTCATTTCACTCTTACATCTTTCCATCAAATCTATCTATTGACAAGGCGTTTACTCCAGTTTGGTGCGCCCATATCTTCGCTGGCTCGTAATCTCGAGCTCCCGTACCTGAAGCTACAGTCGTCGGAGGCTTTTCACCACCATTGAATCGTACCTTTGGAGCTGGTAAAATCGCATGGATTAATTGGGTAGTCTGAATGCGAGCAAAGGCATTTGGGCCAAGATTGCCCGATGATCGATCAAAGATCAATTGATTCATACATTTGGTGTACGATAGAATCTTGTATTCGAAAAGAATAAATTGGGGGACATAGGTAGGTGGTGATGATATACCTCAATGTCAATACCTACTACGTGTGTGATGCACTGAGAAGTGTTGCTTATGTAGGAGCAAAACCTGAAAGGATTGCGACGCGACGATACAAATTACGCGGGGTCGTTTCAGCATCGTCATACCATACTGAGCTAAATTTCTAGAGCGCTCTAGCTAGACTCAGCTCTCACAATTCTTATTCATTTTTTACATTCTAGACATCAACATTTGAAAATCAAAGGACACTATGACTTCAAAGGCATTTTCACAGAATACTTTCATCAATCCAAATGTTGAAGAAAAATCAATAGAGGGGGACAAGGTTTCACGAACAAGAAAACCATCTGTTTACGACGCTGTTGCAGGTAACGTTCCAAACACGACATCGATCGGAGATAAAGTTACGTACTGACGTTTGGCTCAGGTCGGATTTCCGCAGCAGGTTTCATTCCTAGGAGTGTGGTTGTCTCCTCAACGCGGGATACTACATCGTCCTCTTTAAGCGCTGTGCCTCCCGAAGCTGTGTTGTTTCGGAGCAAAAATGCGCCCACCAGGTATGCCGAATCGGACATCTATTTTGCAAATGAGCGAGAGTCTCCAAAGGGGTTGCCAGACTCCGATCTGTTAAAATCACTTCACACCTATGCTTCAGATTTCTATTCGCGTGCAACTGCAGAGGGAGGGTCTATAGATTGGCGCAGCATGGACGAGACGGCTTTGATAGGACTGGGTATTTTGATGGAAGAAGCATCTCGAGAGATCCTAGGAGAAACAGGTGACCTGACTTTTACGGAGGGAGAGGATTTCAATATCAATATTCTTGGACGCGGTCGACGCTCTCGAACAGGCAGCATTGTCAGCTCACCCCTAGAAGCTAAAAGGCCCGCTAAGAGAAGACGCGTCCATGATGATCATGTCAATGGATCGGGTTGAAATAAAGCATACGTAGATATTAGACAGCCACGACACGGAGCGTTAGACTACGATCTCGGGCGATTTGGGGTTGCGGTCACACTGGGTTTAGACGAGCTATTTTGGACCACAGCCAACACTCAAGGGGGGTTCAACGTGATTAACGGAAGAAGAAAATTTGACCAGTCAGGATATCAGAACGGTGAACGGGCTCGTTATCAGACTGCTTTTTACCAGCCCAATTTTACGAGTATGGAGCTATACGAGTAGGATTGAGATAAACTAGAAGGGTCGGTGGCGTGATGGGTTTTCATTCAATCGAGTTAGCCCCTTCACGGTTAAGGGACGAGCCGGATACGACATCTACATCGGTATCTTCGGCAACCAATGCGGATGGTGTTTCGCCGTAGCTTTCCGATTTATTGGGACGTTCAAAGCTGATGGTGTACACCGAAACAAACTTGTGCGACCTGGGTCAAATATCAAAATTGGCACTCACGTTCTCATTTGACGCTTCTGAGTAAGCTTGCATGCTTCGTGTTACACCGACATTTGGGCTGACTCTGATAGCTCAGGATAGCTAAACGCTATATCTTGCTCACGAGAAATGAATGCAATTAATCCTTGAAAATTTTAACTCGGTTACCGGTAGAAAGCAATCTTCCATCAATGAGCTCTGTTAAACTAGGCGTGAAAGATTTGAGCGACCGAGTTGAACAAGGTAAGGTAATTAGATGAAGGTTGCCTTTTGGTTGGGCGAAGGGTCCGAATATTCAAGTCGTCTCCGCTGACACGTGGAAAAAGGTCCGTACAATAGTACAAGGTGGACCTGGTTAATCTTGGTCTTGACATTTCCCGTTTCACCAATAGTCTCTTTGTATTCTTGCCTCTGGAGGGGTTGAAAGTTCACCGTTTTCTTATCTATCAGTTCATGTATCCGGTACGTTGCAATTTGCCTCTTTCACGGAGGAATGTTTCGGACGTATGTAATTACTGTATACAGATACTGGTCGTGTCATATAACTCAGATGTGATAGCATCAACCAACAGTTCGTCTATAAGGGCCAGGATTGTATATATCAAATATTCGTGTTCTCGTGAAACAAACGAAATGATGCAGATCTAGCTTGAGATTTTTGATGTCCAGAATCGCATTTTTGTTAACTTCGCTAACAGCATTGCAATCACTGCATACATTCATGGTGATGTAAGTAACGAGTCAGAAAAAAGTTGAAGATTTGCGCACATTGCATATTAACCTCCGAAGACCCTCATTGGTCACATCGGAAGTTTATCATCTGCCATGGGAAAACGAGTACCGGTTCTGGAAGCAAATCACCACCATCTGCAACCATGAGCGATATGATTCCCTCGTCGCACATTCCACCTAACCAACATGCAAGCAACATCAACAACTCAGGGCACAAGTCACATTACATGCAACTTGGAAGCACCGCCTTTTCAATTCGTGTTTAGCCGTCTTATCATCTTCCTGTCGGCCATCGTAAGTCTCGCGCGCTATAACCTCAGCTTCCTAAATGATCAGTCGCATTTCCATCAGCACCATCGATCCTGTAGCTTGGAAGAAGCGGTGAGGTTACATCTTTACGTACGGATAACACAGTCCGTTTGAACTCAGATGATCCGCATCCAGTCGTAACGATTGTCGCTGAGTCCCCGTAGTCTAAATCTATCTCTGACAAGAGTCATACTATGCAACAAATGATACGATGCGAGATAATATGCAAGTCGTGGGTTAGTACATTACCGGGTAAGAATGGCGAACGAGCTTAGATCGTGCCGGAATTTTGACAGGAAGCTTCGTGGAAAAAGTTTATTTGGCATATCCTTGTTTGCCGCGGACTTTTCGGGCATCAGTCAATGAAGCCGTTGCATCGGATACTGGTTTCGATGATTTGGTTCGCCTGCAAGGGATTTCTATTATTGTTCATTAGTCTTCCGTGTTTCTCGAATGCTAATCGCCGACAATGTACCATATATGCCCAACCCACCCTTTGTGTAACGATCGTCGCATCGCGGTCTCTATAGTGAGCACCAGAACTTCTGTGTAACCCTTCCGTGAATCTCTGTCCCAGATATTTCTAGACGCCGGTACGGCACCGCGATTACATATGGTCGACAGGCTTTGAAACTCGTGCCCGACTCCTTGGAGGAGCTTACGAAACATGATTGGGGCACATTTACCGTCTCTTTCATGCATTTCTTTCTTTCTCTTTCGATGATGCGCATTATTTTCTTTTGAATCTGTTCCATTATTACATCGAGTCTGAGACATTCGATGGCGCAAATTAGAATCGTCCTAGAGACTCCGAGTAGATTTTGTTTTTTTCCGTGCAATACTGACTCGAGTTGAACAATAGCCGAGCTATTCCTCCACTTGTGAACGGAAACCCTTCTGATTCTTGAGTAAGTAGGGCTAGAAGGAGGCTAGAAATCACAAGTAAACGTATCGTTCCGTGCCTCGCGCCCGTTCCGCCGAACGTGTACTTTTGTTTTTTGTGTACCAGTACTTATCGTCATGTTCTCGGGAAGTATTTTCAGGAACGACGCTGTGATTGGGGCAGAGCATGGAAGGAAAAGAAGCACTTTAAGGGCTCTACCCGAAAGCCGTTGGATCAGTTGCTAGAGTCCCCGCAGTTCTCCATGCTGATCTCAGTTATTACTCCCTGGGAGCCTGGGATCTCTTCGAGTCGGATGATTGATATTGTTTGTCCAAAATGATACGGGGAATGGGAGATATTGCAATCATATGATGGAGAAACAAATGAAATCATTTGAATTTAGAAAAGAAGGCGAGAGAGGCAAAAGAGGTGAAAGAGGCAAAATCGTTGCGTTATGAGAGTTCTTGATTTTGATATGATCATCAATGTGGACATTTTTGTTACATTTCAATTACTGAGTTTGTGACATTGTTAGCACGCTTTGACCCTTCCAGAAAGAAATCTCTTGTGAATTTGCTGCCTCCATTTTTTTCTTGTTTTACCAAGACACAGGAAGTCCGAGCCAAAGCAAGTTAGCAACGGGGCCAGGGAGATGAGGATACCCAGGCAACCAGGGACTTTTTTGTGAAAATTCCTTCCTTACAGAAAATGAAATGATTGCTCGATATCCACAGCTCATCTTCACGACAGAGGGTTCAGGGAGCATACTGGGGCGCGGAGACATTACCGATTAATTTCCATGGGTTTGATGAGGCGAAGGATTCTGATGCAGGACAATCGTGCGTAGAAGAATGGGTGCTGAAGAGTGGTGCCTCCCATGTCCAAGGCATCGGTATGTACCATGACCAACCAGGAGGCCTGTTGTTCATCGTAAGCTGGTGGGAATTGATGAGAAGTTCTGGGAATCTGTGAGAATGATGAAATGGCGAAGAGCTTCCTTTCATGTTACGATTTGTATGCTGGGCATGTACGTACGTACTCCATGCTCCATAATGCACGTAGCTGGGAGGGTGGAATTTGTACTCCTACATATGCAGGCAACATTGAATACCTACCTATGTCATCACCAAAGTTACTGTTTTAGAATGTTGTAAGGAGCAGGTCATACGACATTCGAGGCTGACAACCTACCTGACAAGCCCCCAGCTTGGCTTTGAGAAATACACATGAAAGTGACTGACGCCCCCGCATCCTTCCCAGTAGAAAGCTTCGAATGAGGAGAATGTGCTTGTTCTGCACTGGATAAAGTCGCTAAAATGCATTGGATGTGATTGTTCTACAGATAGGGCCAGACGAGACTGCCAATCCCTCCACATTTATCATTGGGCAGGTTGAGACGACGTGCTACATCCTCTGCTTACTGGCTCTCATCCCTGGGATGCGACATGCTGGTGTACACAGATCCGGACATAATTCTCAGGATGATGATAATGATGATGATGCTGTTATTGTTGTTGTTGGGATAGTGAGAACAGTTTACTGCGAGGAGCCTAGGCGTTGCGGGTGCGTCGGGTTGAAGTTTGATGTTGTGTATGTTTTGAAGAGAGAAGAGATGCCATGTGGTGGTACGCTGGTCTGTGAAGTACTTTGACGTTGGTACCATATATACACACGGCTTGTATTTCTCATCGACAGTGACATGTTATATTTTCGCTTATTAAATCTCGTACGCAGAGTTTTACACATCGGAAATGGAAATGGATCGTCTCCTAGGTTGTCCCACTTGGGATGACATTCGATGGCTAGACCCTTTTATCTATCACTTCCTCGTCAATCCCTTCGCCAGTCATGGACATCGTATAGACTTAACTCAACAAAACAAAACATATAATTACCCTACTGGGCAAAGCTTACATCAAGTAGGGGTAGCATTATTTGATGCCAGCAGTAGTGGGATGCAAAGGTGGCCGGGTGAGAGCAAGCAATTGGCAGATGGCAGGCTACGTACAGCAATGAGCAAGCAGTTTGATATTGGAATCATTAATTGATTGAGCGACATCACGAATCACGATATCATTTTCCAATAGCATCAAATGATTGATATCTTCATCCAGCCTCGCCCGCCGACCCAATACTACCTACCATACTACCTCCCTCGTAGAATCAATCAACCGTAACCCGGCACCCCTCCTGCCCCTCGCACACCTTTCCCTCCTTTTCCTTCTTCCAAGTTACCACGCCACGCCTCACTCCCCAAATCAAGCTCCAGCCGGCTCAGGTATTACATTCATCCTAGTCTCAACGCATTAAGCATACTCGCATTGCACAAACAGACTACCGATTATCCCACCTTACATTACACTTTCTTCCCCCTTGTCAATCTAAACTATTTCCAACTTCACAATAACCTTACCTGCCCACAAAAGCATTATATCGCCTATTCTCGGGTGGTTGGCACCGGGTAACTGGGCACGAAAGCTTTCGTGAACACTGAATAGTGAACACTGCACCGACATTGCACACTCGAATCTTGAATCGCGAAAAGTGCGCTGCGACGCGGAAGAGAGACGGCGGAGAGACGAACCAAACAACGCAGGTCTTGGAAGGGTATACGACAGCAACCAACATCTAACAACCAGCATACTAGCATACCAGCATACCAGCATCCTGAGCCTTGCAACTCGATCGTATCTTCTTCATCTTCAACGGCTTTCGAATGCGCCGTATCAAGTAACACCGGCACAGACACTATACATTTTGTTCCCTTCCACACATTCCAAGTCACGAAGACACGGGTTAGTACGTCAATTTTTTTGGGGATACCTACTTGCATGAACCTTCTTTTTACCCTTTGCCTTAATCTTCACCTATCAAGCTATCGCCTCTATCCTTATCGTGCTCTTTGGACTTTAACCCCAAGTTTGTGAAGTTTGCTTGATTGTTGATTGATTTCCCGTGGTGGCATCTCTTGATACTTCGAAGCGTTTTCCCATCGTTTGCGAAGGTCGAAAGATTGAATCATCCACTGGTTATCAAGGAAATAAATCAAAGCAAGCTGGCATAAAATTAGGTTAGAGTCTGAGTTTTTTTTTATAAAATTTCTAATTTTTGAAATTGAAAAGGAGACGAGAGACGGGGCAACAATAAGTTTGGAGTGGAGTTATTTTGAACTTTTTGACGGGTTCAAGGTTGTTTTGCATTTTCTTCTGTTCTTGCTTTTTTGAACAATTGATTGATTTGAATGATTTGATTGTATGATTTGTATGATTGTGGTGGGGAGAGACGCACAAAAGGGACATTTTAACTTTTCTAGCATTATCATAATCATCTCTGCTATATCATCAGGATCCATTTCCATCCAAGGACGGCAACAACAATCCACAGCAAGAACGCGAGCGAGCAAGCAAGCAAGCAAGCAAGAAAGCAGAACATCCATCCACCATTGCTGCACAAAACTCACGCCTCGGTCATTAAATGACTGGTTCGGGGTAATTGCTTGCTGGCTTGTTACTTGCTGGCTTTGTTTTGCCTCCTTTGCAAATCAATTCCTTTCTGTTCCTCGCTATCTCTGCTCATTTATATATTGTGTTGTATTTTGTTGTATTGTGTTGTGTTGAATTGTATTGTGCTCACCTACATCTCTATTATGTTTCTATTGTTATTTGCGCAATTCGATAGTTGATGCTTTGATTTACAGTTCTCTCTGTCTCGCTCTCTCTTGTCCGCACTCTCTTTCTTTCTCTTCTCTGCTCTCTCTCTCTCTCTCTTCTCTGCGCGCGCGCGCTCTCTCCTCTCCTCTCCTCTCCTCTCCTCTCCTCTCCTCTTCTCTTCTTTCCTCTTCTTTCCTCTCCTCTCCTCTCCTCTCCTTCTAACAATCCATATAGCAACAGAAGAAAAGAAAACGCGCCAAGAGATCCTAGAAATACATACATACACACATCCACACATACACACCTACTCACCCACCGCCCTACCTACATACATACACAAACGCAATCCCAAAATCATCTTGCAATCTGATTCGGCCATTTTACCGTACCTCACTACTCTCACACTACTCGTATACTACTCAACATACCGTGCCCACTCCCGCTCTTGACTAAGGCGCAAGTACGTACCAGGTTACTCTTAGATCCAAAAACCCCAAACTCAAAACTCAATCTAAAAGAGTACCTTAGCTGGGTACATATCACCATCCCACCTTCACGCACGCGAAAGAAAGAAAAAAGAGGGAAAATTGGAAGAGAAACGAGAAACGAAGAAAACGAAGAAAACGAAAGAATCCTTGACTACCTGATCCTAGCTCCCGCCTCAGCTATTAAAGTTTACAATTGACAAAGCACCCCCCCTCCGCCCCAAAAGATCCCAGGACCTAGATAACCACTTATTATTGATTCGATTGTTCTATTATTCAATTATTCCCAATTATCCTTTTATTTATCCATTTATATTATTATTCATTTATTATTTATTATTTATCCAATTTTCTCTCAACCAACCTAAAAGCCCCCTCAAGAATTATTATTCATAAAATCTTTCTCAGCAAGCAAGCAAGAAAGCAGGAAAGAATCGAAAGTAACCCTGAAAGTTGCATTGCAGAGCAGATCTTGAACTCTACTTGAAAGGGTTTAATCAATATCCAAGGTAACGTATGTTTTAAATGTTCTCATGGATCTCACTTCTTCTGTCGCGCCTTGCTCCAGCGCAAAACTGTATTCAAGGGACCACTTGCTTGGTACCCGGGTAGCTCTTAGATAGCTTATTACTCCTCTACCTTACCTTACCTTACTTTCCGAGGGAAATATGGCTGATCATCTCAAACCCTGTTCAAGCAGACCGGTTTACCATACCATCTAACCTTCACTACTCAGTTGCGCGGCATTCGTTACATCACACACATGATTACCTACACGTCAGTCCGTAATACATACTTGCGCAGATGATTCTCCACTGAACTCTTCTACGCCTCTGTGTTCTCCCTCGAACCTGTAAGAAGCCGCCGCGCTCGACCGCAGTCCATGGCCTTAGCTGTTGTGGTCACTTAACTTTTTTGTATGAATCGCAATGATGGACAATGGTCAACCAGATCCAAAGCGACCAAGATTAGGACCCGGTCCTGCTTGGCCGATCGAGCAGCCCAATCAGCCCAACCCTTCCAGGGCCCTTCCTCCTTTACAACCTCCCTATAATAGCGGTCCATTCTCTCGTCCCGATTCTCATGCCCACCCCCTCGATAGACGACCTCCCCACCCCAACTTTCAAGAACATCAAGACCCTCATCGCCCTAACTCAGGACATGCGCATGTTTACCACAATATACATAATCAACACCCACCACCACCTCCCATACCTTCATACAATGGACACAATGGGCACAATGGCCCTCGAGAGCCCATCGTGAAGCCGGACCCTTCAGAAGAACCCCCACAACACAGGCCACCACCGACAACCAATGGCACAGATCATCATGTAAATCTACCTTACGCTGAAGAAAGAGGAAGGCCTTTTCCACCAAGATTCGATCAACCTCCACCTCCGCAGCATACTCCGCAACACACTCCGCAGATGTATAATAACAACCCCGCTCCTCCCATGTATCAACCTCAACCCCCACCTCCCTCTACAAGTCCGATGACGACACCGACATTCGATGGGGCTATGTCAATGTATGGCCCGCCACAAGGTCACCCCCATCCTCCACCTCGGGAACAGTATTCAGTCACACCTTATCCTCAACCTGCAAAGCCTCGAAAAGCGCAACGCGCGGCTCAGGCATGCGATAGCTGTCGCAATCTGAAGGCAAAATGCGACGAAGGGCGACCGGCTTGTGGTAGTTGTAAAGAGAAGAATTTCGAATGCCATTATCGAGATCCACCACCTAAACCGTAGGTTCAAAAAGATAATTGGAATGATACGCTGCTGACCATTGTAGAATTGATAAAGCTTCCACGGACATCATCGAGGCCTTGATACGATTGGAACACCGCAACGCAGAGTTATTCAATGTTTTGCAGACAGGTCTTGAATCATTGAACAAACGAGTGGACGAATTACAGGAGAGAGTTGGAGCCGGCCGGCCTCTATCAAGTATTGAGGGGCACATGAAAGAAGAAGGGAGAGACGATGTTCAGTTACCTGATGGTGAATTCGGAACATTTCATGGCTCGAATTCGAATATTCTTCATGATGCCACGCCCATAGATCCGCCAGTGGTAGGTCCAGTACAGCCACTCGAAGGATCCACTCCCGGTGCACTCGAGGAGGAGGAGGAAGGCGACCCTGTGCCGCCCGGGCAACCATTAATACCAGTGAATCACACGACGGGCGCAGCCAGGCTTTTGCTAGTCCCTTCTGTAAAGCAAATGATAAATGGTGGAGGGGGCTTACCCAAGAACGTGAAGGACGAAAAATATCCAATGCTGCAAGAAGAACGACGTGGACTTCTAAGATTATTCGGAAGAGGAGAAGGAATTGATTTAGCTCAAGGCTATGATCGAGATCCTATGACGGATCACGCCGATTCTATAGTCGATACAAGTTCCGACGTCTCATCTCCGGCTGGTGAAGAATGGGGTCAATTGGGTGGTATGACGCCGCCATCTAGTGCGCCAGATTATCCTCCACCAGTTGTAGGCAGTATCATGTCGGATGGGATGCCTGATTTCCGAAAAAGTGTAGTTTTGG